TAACCTCTAGAAGCACTGTTTGCTTTTAACAACCTGTTCTGTGAGAAACTGGTGCTGCATGTCCTCCATCTAGCGGCGGCGGCTCGGAAACACCCTGTAAAACATGGAGCTCAAATCTGGACAACACGAGTGGAAAACTAACTTTGAAATCTTCATACAATATACAAAATGGTAATGTATATCTGTATTTAAGGTTGCGTTTTCTATGACGTATGTGCAAAGTTTGGTGCGTTAAAATATCATTAGGCTATGATTTACATTAGCCATTTCCAGTCAGTTTTAATAGGACTATATGTGAATGACCTCATAATTTTAAAGCTTTATAAGCTGATAATTTAAATCGAAAGTGTAGGATATTACTTAAAATTAATTGATGTGTGTAACGTGTACTAGCAGAAATGGAAAAATAGTTGTTTTTGTTTTTTGCCAAAAATGGATTAAGTATTGCGGTTAAAACTACAAAAACGTATTTTATTTTCACCATAACAGTGTTTGTAGCTAAATAGGCGAGTTACCGGATTGTAAACATTTAGGATGCGCGCGCATCGAGGTTGCATTGCAACTGGGAGTGCATTTACAATGAGGGAATGACATCCAATGCTGTACAGAGTTTGCTGTTGTATTATAGATAAGTTATATTGATTACATATTATATTATTTAAATAATGCTTTCAGCGTATTAGAACAGCTTGTCACCAAGTGATAAGCACGGTTATTCTGCAAAATTAACATTAAATTGAGCAACGTTCATCTGACTGGTCTATTTGCGATAGCACCCTCCCAATGAATATTGGATAAGACGAAACGGCCAAGCATCCAACCCCAAATATACAACCTCATTGAAGCTCCAAGTGATTTTACAAGAGAGAAGTTAAAAGCCTACAAGTCTTTGGATGCCTACAAATTTGTTGTGTGGTCATGTGCAAGAAATAATGCTCCATGACGACCAGATTCAAAACTTTGTAGGGCTAACCGAGGAGGTTCTGCCTAGACAAAGACAAGGAAAGAAGATGGAGCTGTACAAGGTCTGGGTAATTAATCATCAACAAGCAAAACTACTACATTCTGACAGCGAACTGCACCTGTATGGCAGGGTATGTGAACTTGCATGTTTACATTTCATTCTTAGCATTCAGTGTCCTCAGATTAATTCACCATATTGAACTGTTTTTGCTGAAATCATTGTTGTAAACAAAAACGATTGATGTGTATGATTCAGCATAGCCTGAACTTACCTGATATAAAATGAGAACTATAATTAGGTCCTCACTCCATTCAGCTCTTCTGATGGCTGTTAGCCAGATATCTGCGTTTGGCATTAAATGCAGTGTGGTGTACGGTAAAAGTTAAGTTTTCAAATTTGGCATCCTACCGCACAACACGACTTGTTTGCCATCTCTTTTTGCAACCGGTATACGTGTTTGAATCTGTGTGACGTAGGTTGGTAATTCCCCAATTGTGTGCACTTTTTAAAAACAGTCACGGTAAATGTATAGCAAAAATAAGAAGTAGCAAGCTTACGACTTGGATGCTTTTTAATGCTTTGACTAACACTTAATGTTAAACAATCCATTTCCAATTAATACACCGTGACAAAAACACAACACAACCAGTTTTCAGTGAGTTTTGTACTAATATCAAGGAATAATTACCAATGTTTGTAACATTTTATTTTACAGTGTCCTTGTTACACGCTTATGTACTTACTGTAGTAAATACAATTATACATAATTAGGGCTTCACGGTGGCGCAGTAGGTAGCACAATCATCTCATGGCAAGAAGGTTGCTGGTTCGAGCCTCAGCTGGGTCAGTTGGCACTTCTGTGTGTATGCATGTTCTCCCCGTGTTGGTGTGTTTGATTTTCCTCTGGTTGCTCCAGTTTCCCCCCACAGTTCAAAGACGTGCGGTACAAGTGAACATTATAATATTCAGTTTTATTAAATTGCAATTGTTATAAATTCCAATTCAGATTGTTTTGGCATATTATAAGCTCCATAAAAAAAATCTAAATGCAAATTGACAGCTTTTAACCAGAATTTATTATAAGCAAACATATTTGTGTTTTGGCAGCACCGGTGGTGCAGTGGGTAGCACGATTGCCTCACAGCAAGAAGGTCGCTGGTTCAAGCTTCAGCTGAGTCAGTTGGCATTTCTGTGTGGAGTTTGCATGTTCTCTCCGTGTTCGCATGGAATTCCTCCCGGTGCTCCTGTTTCCCCCACAAGTCCAAATACATGCGCTATGGGTGAATTGGGAAGGTTAAATTGTCTGTAGTGAATGAGTGTGTATGGATGTTTCCCAACGGCTGAAAGGACAACCGCTGTGTAAAGCATATGCTGGCAGTTCATTCCTCTATGGCAGGGGTTCTCAAACTTTTCAGCCCGGGACCCCCAAAATAACAATGCCAATGACTCGCGACCCCCACTATTTTCGTAAGTGGTTATAATCATACAAACGTTGCACACAACACTCACACAAACCAATCAGCCTATACAAACACAAGCATATTGACAACACAAAAAAGTGCAACAGTCCCATATCATTTTTATTATGATTATTTTATATTAACCTCATCTAATTAGACTGGTGGGCACAATATTTAGGTTACATCCCAAGTCTTTTCTTGGTTTAATTTTGGAGACTGCCACTTACACATCATACTCCATGTTTAGTGTCCTGTATGTATTTTAAAAGTACGTGAGTGCTGTAACGGTGTCAGAAAGTTTAGGTAGTGCTGTAAAATCTGGTGCACTGACGCTGTTGCTTTGTCATTAATCTAATGTAAAAACCCTGGGCCTGTTTCAGAAAGGAGGTTAACTGAAAACTCAGAGTATTTTAACCCTGAAATGAGAGAAACTCTGGGTTTTCCGTTTCAAAATGGCAGGTTTGTTAAATTCGAGAAAGCAGGGTAAGTCAAGCCTGTTTCTGAAAGAGAGGTAACTTTAACTCTGTGAATCTAACCTGGTCAGAAGCAGGTTTTATTCTCTAAACTCAGAGTTTCTGTCGGTCTCCTCCCCTTTTTTAAAGATGAAGCGCATTTCTTGCCTTAGCCTTGCGTTTCCACACACCTATTTTAATGCTCATTTTGGAGATGCCCATAAAAACGATTGATAGAAACGTCATGATGCACATAACTTTTTAAAATATGCATAAAAACCGCGCATAACTGAGTAGGATAAACTTTTATTCGATAGAAAATGTGCGCATAAACTACGATGGAAACACTTTTACTAAACAAATTACAGTATGTACATTAAAAAAAAGATCATGATCATATGATAATGAAAATGTGTGTAAATGGACAAACCAGCAGGCTGAGCACACTGTAACACGTCTTAAATATTGTTTTAGTCATTCTAAAATGCCTTAACTGTTTTAGTATTAGTGTATATTATTAATTACCTCCGAACGTCTGGTGCGTGAGTCTCCGCGTCTCATGGCTCTAGACGCCCCCACGTGTTCATTGTGTTTCAGCATTGTCTTCTGACATCGAGGCGCAAGTACATTAATTAGACTAAATAAAGAATTAATTGACGCAGCTTCTTCTACCACAGTAAATTCTGTTTTTACTGTTGATATTTGGTGCCAGTTTAATCAGGAAGTGAAGATTTTTTTCTCTTTGACTCGTTGGATGGAATTTTATTCGCATCTTTTATGCAATATTCCTGTTTTGCACATACATTTATGTAATATATTTAGATGGAAACATAGCTATTGCCTACATTTTAGTCACACACAGAAGAACTGTACTAGAATGGCTTATCCTTTTTTAATAAATAATTAAATTAAATTCACCTTCGACATGCATGTAACTAGATTAATGGGATTATTCTAAAAAATATTTTTAGTACTGCTTACCTTCTAAATGTTATATTAACCTCTATCACTTGATCAATAAAAAAGGCAGACACAAGTGCACTGTTAAATCATTTAAAACTAATAAATGTATAAAAAAAAGTTTAGAAAAAAAAATATATAAACGTCACAAATTACATTACTTATTTTATTATACTTAAATATTTAAATACTTAAAAAGATAAATTAGGCATTAACTTGAGCAGCTGTTTTCCCACGCTAACTGTCTCTTCTTCACTGATGGTTGTTTCTTTTCAAATATATACACACTCATATTTGCTATAACTTTGCATGAGAACATCAAGTTCAGCTGGAGAAAGAAATGGTGATCTCTTTTATAAGATATTGCCATATTCACTCGTAATGTCTGCGCTCCATTGATAATGCCTTTTTAAAGTCACGGTGTGCGTGCTTAACTCTGAGTTGGTTTACTCAAAGTTGATTGACCCAACTCAGATCAGCTGTTCTGAAACCGAAAACTCTGAGTTTTTAATCTCTCGGTAAATCAACTCAGAGTTCAAGTTTAAACTCTGAGTTGTTTGAACCTCCTTACTGAAACAGGCCCCCTAAGGGTTGCAATCAATTTAAAAAACAACAACAACAACAAAAACCAAAGGCTGATGGCTTTTTGTTTGGATATTGTATTATGTAACTATTTGTTATCTTCTGTAGGTTATGGATTAACAATGGTAATCATAAAAGTTTATTCAAATTTATTAGATTTTTGTAAATCACCAAGCGACCCCCTCTCATTGTCCCGCGACCCCCCAGGGGGTCCCGACCCCCACTTTGAGAACCACTGCTCTATGGGACCCCTGATGAATAAAGGGACCAAGCGGAAAAGAAAATGAATAAATAACTGAATGAATGTTTGTGTTTTAAACAAGGAAACTCTACAGCAGGGGTGTTCAAACTTTGTCCTGGGGGCCCGGTGTCCTGCATAGTTTAGCTCCAACTTCATTCAACACACCTGCCTGGATGTTTCTAGTATACCTAGAAAGAGCTTGATTAGCTGGTCCAAGTGTGTTTAATTGGAGTTGGAACTAAACTCTGCAGGACACCTGCAATCCAGGACCAAATTTGAGCACCCCGGCTCTACAGTTTTACAGATTGAAACAAACCACAAGCAAAAACAACACGTGAGCATTTCATTTTTCTTGGTTTTTATTCATGACAAATACAGATTTTAAAACTGGAACAAAATGAAAACACTTAGTCTAAACTAAAATCGTATAAAGATTTTGGGATTGAGCATACAGAGGGCAAAAAAAAAAAAAAAAGTGATAAAGCAGTTATGAAAGACCTTTAAGGCTTCCAGTCGAAAATACTGAACAAACAAAAACCCATCGTCAAAAACTTCCAAGTGAGAGCGAACTGTACAGAGCAAACATGCCACAAGTAAATGTTTTATTCATTCTGAATGCATACCAACAGAAATAATGGACCTGCATGTGCATCTACGCAGTAAGACCAAAGAAAACCAAAACAAACGCAATAAAAGAAGACGAGAGGTCCTCAAAAGGGGGCTACGGAACCATTCTTTTGACATGTACACGTTTATCATATAGGCCACTACATCTGTGGTTCACCTTGTTTTAAAGCAGCGCAGTGAAGTTGTGGGATGGAGGTCTTCAGGTCTTCCTCTGGCAGCTGTTCAAACTCCTCCTGATGTACACAAATGGTCAGAAAAATCTCAATTAGTGAGTGAAATCAGACACGCTTCATGAACATACAACTTATGCACAGAAAAAAGCAATATTCTCATTTAAACAAGCTTTAAAATACGATTAAACCACATTATTATTCACATTTAGACAAATTACGTCCTTCAGCAACCAATAAATGATCGCTTTTATTGAATTATTCTACCCTTCTCAATCTATTTTACAGCATCAGAAGCAGCGATGGTGACCGCTTGGCTGCAAGTTAACATAACTGAAGGTAAACACACAAATAAAAAAACATGTACTGTTTATTTTGAATGAATTGATATCCCATCATCTACAAGGCCAGGCGGTTTTGACAGTGTAGGCGGCTGATCTTGCTCTGAAAGCATGCACTGGCTGTATCTTAAGGACAACACAAGTAGGGAATTTAAACAAAAGAAGCACGAGAGAGAAAGAAAAGTAAAGGTCGACTCACACTAGGGCTGAGTGATATAATAGACTGTGAAATAGAACTAGGATTTAAAGGTTTGAAGGGTTAGTTCACCCAAAGATTTAAGTTCTGTTATTAATTACTTCATCCCAAATGTTTCAGAACACAAATGAATACTTTTTAGAGGGAATCAGAGAGCTCCCTCATCCTCCATAGACAGCAATGATACATTCAAAGTCCAGAAAAGGAGCCAAAACACAATTTTGAAACACACTATATGGTTTTTGTAATCATATGAAGCTCCAAGAAAACTTTTGTGCACCAAATAAATACTGTCGTCTCTTCTGTATCAGGTTGTGGTGCACGTTTACTTCAGAAAATATGGCATAAACACATCCTGACCTGATGACAAAGACATTGGCAAACACTTAATTTTATTATTATTTTTTTAGTGCACAGAAGTGTTCTTGTAGCTTCGAATGATTATAGTTGGACCACTGAAGTCAACTGAAATATATTTGGTTCCTGAGACAACTGCGAGTCTATGGAGGATGAGGGAGCTCTCTAATATCATCTAAAATATGTTTGTGTTCAAAAGTTGAACGAAGGTCTTAAGGAATTGAAGGGACTTCCAGGCAAGTAACTTTGGGGTGAAGTAACCCATTAACTATAAAAACACTGCAAATATGGAAGGGATCATCGATTAAAAATGAATTAAAATTACCATTTACAACTGTGTGATGTTAAAACTGTAGAATATATATATATATATATATATATATATATATATATACATATATATATATACATATATATACATATATATATATACATATATATATATACATATATATATATACACATATATATATATATATACATATATATATATATATATACATACATATATATTTATATATATATATATATTCAGGACCCAATTTTCTCTAATTTCATCTAAAATATCTTAACTTGTGTTCCGAATTTGAACGAAGGTCATGTATACGAGGCGGAGTCATTTTTGGGTGAACTAGTCCCTAACATTTTAAGATGGAAAGGAACTTCAATTTAAAATGGATTCTAGCTTAAAAATACCATTGATAACTGTGTGGTATTATAATAGTAAAATATATTAACATTTTATGTGTATAAACATCGAGAATGGGCACCTAATGTACACTTGTGGTCAGAATTAAAAAAACGCGCATCTTAAAAAAAAAAAAGAGACTTTGTACACAGAATACAATTAAACGGCACAAACGTACGATGTGAAAGCAGAAGCAGGGTTGTGGTCAGCACCACTTCTTGTACAGGTACGAATCTGCTTTAGGCAATTCATTGTTCAGTTTTCAGCATGAAAGCAGTTTGTTAGTGATTTGCATTGCTTTTATCATATCACGCTATGTGTGAAAGGGCCTCAATTTCAGGGGCTTTAGTTCCCTTCACTCCATGACAATCAAAAGTTTATATTTTAAACGAAAATTACTATTCACAACTAAATGACGTAGCTCTTTGAAATAGGTTACAAAGGCAACCTGGTAGAATTTGGTTCCTCTTATGGCTGATTTCCACTGAGTGGTACGATTCAGTATAGTCAATACACAATGTAAGATATGAGGTATACAATGAGAGTTCAACTGCATTACTATGAATGTGCAACGCTCAGAAGGGCTGCCACAAACAAATGACTTCCCACCCTCCAAGTCAAAATCGTCAATCGCTATAGGTCAGCGTTTCTTTGGAGGGGCTACATACAGCCTTGTTCATTACTACAAATCATGTCAAATGGCAACTACAGTATGCCTGCATTAACAAATATTGTATTTTATGCACACTCAAGTTAGTTATTTCAAATGAACAAGCGATTTCATGCATTCCTAGATGTGTCTTCAATTACGTTTAAACAACAATGGAGGACATACAGCAGAACGAGTTTTGATTGAGTTTGGGTCGAACATGGTTCAGTGCTGCATAGCGTCAGATGCATTTAAAAACGTCAATTGTTTTGCCACTTACAATTGACGATTCCCTGTAAACCAATCATTTAACAGTGAACATAGCTTCACCATTTAAGAACCATACTGTTGGGCTAGCTATCCTTATAAAAGGGTCCCAAAACAGTGGTACGGTATGATATTTTGGTACCATTCACAACTTTTGACAGTGGAAACAACTAAAATAATTGCGAACGTTCGACTGAAATGTTCCACTCAGTGGAAACGACCTATTATTAAAGACAAACCTCCAACTGAAACTATATTCGAAGTCATTTTATAATTCGAACGATCACTAAAGACTTTGTTTTTTAGTACTGTTTTGCTAGTTATCTTTATGAAAGCATCCCAAGAAGGTGGTACGGTACAGTGTTTTGATACCATGCACAACTTCTGACTGAAAACAATCAAAATAATTGCGTACTCTACTAAAATGTACCGCTCAGTTGAAACGACCGATTATTAAAAGACCAACTACCAGAAGTTGTGAATAGTACCAAAATACAATAGCATGACCACTTTGTGACGCTTTCATAAAGATAACTAGTACTGTTGTGAAAGTGATAGCGTATGCTATTTTGGTGCCATTCCCAACTTCTGGCAGTGAATAATTTTGGAATAATTGTGTAATCTACTGAAATGTACTGCTCAGTGGAAACGACCCATTATTAAAGACAAACCTCCAATTTAAACTATATTTTATACTTCAGTCACGATCACTAAAAGACTTATAAGTTATCTTTATGAAAGCGTCCTAAGAAAGTGGTACAGTAGGATATTTTGTTTTAATATTTGAAGCCATTTTATACTTCGAACATGATCACTAAAGATGTTCGCTTGTACAGTTGTGCTGGTTATCTTTATGAATGAGTCAAAAAAGTTGGTACCATTTACAACTTCTGACAGTGAATTCAACAACAAAAATTATTGCATACTCTACTAAAATGTACTGCTAAGTGAAAACTGCTCATTATTAAACACAAACCTTCAACTAAAAGAATTTAAAACTTCGAACACGATCACTAAAGTTTTAGTATTGCTGTGCTAATTATTTTTATGAAAAGGTCCCAAAAAAGTGGTATGATACAATATTTTGGTACCATTTACAACTTCTGACAGTAGATTCCACAACAAAAATAATTTTGTACTCTTCTGAAATGTACTGTTCAGTGGAAACGACCCATTATTAAAGACAAACCTCCAATTTAAACTATATTTTATACTTCAGTAACGATCACTAAAAGACTTATAAGTTATCCTTATGAAAGCGTCCTAAGAAAGTGGTACAGTAGGATATTTTGGTTTGATATTTGAAGCCATTTTATACTTCGAACATGATCACTAAAGATGTTCGCTTGTACAGTTGTGCTAGTTATCTTTATGAATGAGTTAAAAATAGTGGTACGGTACAGTATTTTGGTACCATTCACAACTATTTACAGTGAATTCAACAACAAAAATTATTGCATACTCTACTGAAATGTACTGCTAAGTGAAAACTACCCATTATTAAACACACACCTTCAACTAAAAGTATTTAAAACTTCGAACACGATCACTAAAGTTTTAGTATTGCTGTGCTAATTATTTTTATGAAAAGGTCCTAAAAAAGTGGTATGATACGATATTTTGGTACCATTTACAACTTCTGACAGTGTAAACAACAAAAATAATTGCTTACTCTACTGAAATGTACCGCTCAGCGGAAACGACCCATTATTAAAGAAACCTCAAACTGAAAACATTTAAAACTTCAAACACGATCACTAAAGATGTTTGTTTAGTACTGTGGTGCTAGTTATTTTAATGAAATAGTCCAAAAAAAGAGGTGTGATAGGATATTTTGGTGCCATTCACAACTTCTGACAATGGATTCAACAACAAAAATAATTGCGTACTCTAATATTGTGTCTTTCCACTGAGCGGTACATTTCAGTAGAGACAAACCTCTAAACAATATTTTATAGTTCGAGCACGATCACTAAAGACGTTTGTTTAGCTATATCACCCAGCCCATATTCAAACCTACTGCTGTTTACTGAAAAGGCAAAAAGAAAATAAGCAACACAAACAAGGAGAAAGAACCGTTGAGCTGGATCTGAGCTGATTTTTTAACTTGTTCATTACTGATTACTGTGGGATATCAATTGAGCTCATCTGTGAACCTGACATGTTACGTCCACCCGTTTAGATATAGCACTTGAAACCAAGAGAAGCAAAACTGAGGACATTTTCAAACTGGGAAAAAAGAGATAGGGTAAAACAAACATCAAGCTCTGAGACACGTTCACAAGGCAACAGCATTCAAATGGATGTGGGTAGTGAAAGGAATACCTGAGTGAATACCTGCACAGATTGACAGTATCCTTGATTTCTAAATGGACTTTTCATGTGAGGGGGGTCGCTCACAACACCAACGCTGTGTGAGGTGTGGAAGTCAGCTGCAATAATTCATTAACCCTACACTTTTCCATCATCCCAAAAGCTAGCGGATCTCAACGTTAAGAACAGACGGTATTAAAAAGTGCAACATATCCATGTAACTCCAATATAAAGAGAAGAAAAAAAAAAAAAATCAATCAATAATCACTGCAGTTCAATGAACGCATCAATGAACAGACATCAGATGGTAAAATGCCGTGCGCTTATGCATGTACACGCATATGAGCACACGGTCATTTTAGATGTGCTAGTTTCAATCTTACTGCGAGCATAAAGTCAACAGGTTGAGGTAGAGAAGAGAGTTAGGGGAAAATAAATAAATAAAGTAACAAAACACGTAAATTTGGAAGAGAACTTGTCTAAAGAGACAGATGTATGACCGATACAAAACGAGGTACCTCCAAGCATGTTTTTCAGGACTACACTGGCCTTTCCCTCTGGGTTTGTTTCATTCTACTTTCTTCCGTTTCATCAGCCTAGTCCCATCTTCAGTGCATACTTACGATGCACTATTAAAAAACAGGAAGAAAAATCACAGACAGAACTGAAAGAAAAAGGGGGGAAGGGGAGAGGGGGGAGAGACCCGGGACGGGGAGGACGGTGCACTTACCTGGGGCTGATCTGAGGTCCTATCAGATCAGTTTTAATTGGACTGTGTGTCACCTTCAGAATGTAGCTCTTGAACCGTGCCGTTCACCTCTGCTTTGGGAGGCTCGGCCTCCATGGGCTCGGGCTTGGAGAGCTCATTACACTTCTCTACAGAGCCCTTTCGGCTGCTCCTTTTCTCATCCGAGGAGTCCTTGTGGTCTGAGACACAAAATCAGCAAACGTACACAGGCATTAGGTCAAACCTCAGCTGAATTAAGTTTTGATTTAAAGTAGGGCTTGAAATGAACTTTTCTGCTTGGTATAACTGGTGCACCAGCCAAAACGTAGGTGCACCCACCTAAAATGAAGAGAAGCGCTTGAAAATGTCGCAGAAATTATGGACTTTTGTTTACCATACAGTAGGACTGGGTGATTTTTTTTTTTATTTATTCGAATTTAAGTTAAGACGATTTTATTTCATACTAAATCGAGATATCGGAATAAAAAAATAAATAAAAAAAACTTAAAAAATCAATAAAAGATGCATCATAATTGCACCAATGCGCTTTGGTTCACTATGCGTATGAAGCAGGTCGCACACTAGAAGCAATGCGCAGTTCTTATTTCAGCCGCGCTACAGAGCGCCATCTGATTAGTTTCATGTTAAATATCATGCGAATGTGCGCGTCTGGTGTGGGATAATTTAACCTGGGGTCACCAACATGGTGCCCGCGGGGATCACATGTGTTGCCCGCTGGCCTGTTTTTAGAATAGCTCGCCATAGCACCACTTACCAGTAAGCTTCATCTAATATAGAAGTAATAATTTAAAAATGTAAATATTTACAGAGATATATAAAAATAAAGTGTTGCACACTGATACATTAAATACAGGGTATTTCCTACCCTGTTAAATCATTGTTGATTACCTTTATGAGAATCATTAACATGATCAGTGTCTTCACATGGATGAATATCATTAATTATTACCAAAAACAAAGTATAATTAAAAGTAAATTGAGCAAATTTGTTATTTGAGAAGTGTTTATCAAACTGGTAGCCCTCCACATTAATCGGTACCCAAGAAGTAGCTCTCAGTTTCATAAAGGTTGGTGACCCCTGCTTTACACTGTCATTTGCGTGCCGTGTTGCGGCGCTTCTGGTGTGCGACCTGCTTGACAGCCTGCCTGGGTTTCAGTCATGGTAGTGACGGAGTGAACACAGAGACTGGACAGCCTAATTTAACCAAATGCATGAAGTGGTGGGCATGCATCGCAGAGCTGGTGCAACTACAACAAACACAAGCATTTAAGTGTCTTAAGTTGCGTATTTTTGCAAAAAAAAATTTTGTTTGAAATAAAAAAAAACTAAATAATGGGTTTTTCAAGTTACTTATACAGAGAATGTTAATTCAGTCATGTTGTTGTAATGTTTTAAGTTGAATAGCTACACAATAAAAAAAAATAATAATAAAAATCAAAATCGTGAATCGGTCAGACTTTATTAAAAAAAAAAAAACTAGATTTTTTTTTTGCCAAATCGCCCAGCCCTACCGTACAGGTTTCTTCAAATCAAATTTAAGATTTTAAGACCCTTTCAATACTAATGTGAGTCAAATATTAGACTTATACAGGGCTAAACAACAAGGATATTTTTTTTCTAATGGGCCGGTTGCTTCTCTAAATAATTTTTGTATTAATGGAAGATCACATAAAGCACGGGACTCAAACTCGATTCCTAGAGGGCCGCAGCTCTGCAGAGTTTTGCTCCAACCCTGATCAAACTCAGCTGATCCAACTAATTAGGTTGTTCAAAAGAGTCTCAAAAACCATGATTAGTTGGGTCAGCTGTGTTTGATTAGGGTTGGAGCAAAACTCTGCAGAGCTGTGGCCCTCCAGGAATCGAGTTTGAGACCTGTGATGTAAAAGGATGTGTTGCTTTACTTTTTTTTTCCCTGATTAGGAAATTTACTTTGAAGAATTTGCTGTAAAAATGTCTAAAAGCTGTTGTGAACTGTATAAAAAAATTAATATATTAAAAAGTTAAGTTTTGAGATGGATTAGAGGTGATTGGGTGTTGGTCAGATTGGGTAGCTTTACTTGGGGATAGGAAAATTAAGACCTGTTTAAAATGATTTAAGAGCTAAAACACAATAGTTCAGTAAATTTAAGACTTTAAGGCCTGTTTTTGAAACGTAAGACTTTAAGGCCTTGTGGACACCAAACTTGTTCCTGGAGGGCCGGTGTCCTGCAGATTTTACCTCCAACCCTAATCAAACACACCTGAACAAGCTAATCAAGGCCTTACTAGGTACACTTGAATCATCCAGGCAGGTGTGATGAGGCAAGTTGGAGCTAAACCCTGCAGGGCCCTCCAGCACCGAGATTAGTGACCCCTGCTTTAAGGCCTTGTGGACACCCTGACATAGCAAGTTGGCATGACAATGGTTTTAAACACTTCCCGAGCACTGCATTTCGTGTTTTCTAGGTGCAAATATGCATTCTGCATGAATGTCCCCCAAATCTGTGCATGAAGTGAATGCTGTGCAGTGAAACAAACAATTTTATGCCCTCGCAAAAATGCTCCCAAATATATTTTAGGGTGCATAGATTCAATTTCAGGTGTATATTCAATCAAAACAGTCTCAATTCCCAGCCCGGTGAAGATTTCTTTAGAAGACATATACAACCGGTTCAATGAAACATGAATAAATTAAATAACAGTTTTTTACTTGCATTGCTTATTTGGAATCTAGGGAGACCTGGAAAGGACACAGTGGACGAGAAAAAAAAAATGGCTGGGTGAAAAAAAAAAAAAAAAAAGGGTAGGAGAAAAAAAAATGGCTGGGAGGAAAATATATTTTTACGTTTTTCGTTCTCTTGCAAAGTTTTGCATTCCCTCGCAAAAATGTTTCTCCAAAAACACTTCCTGTTTACTTCACTCATGTAAACCCTCCCCAAAACAACCCTTTGCCAATATTCTCCTGTATTTTACCATTCTATCCCACTTTCTTTACACTAAAGCTTTGGGTCGATCGTCGCCTTTCATATGCAACCTTTGAACCAGTGAATGCATGTACAAGCGCTGACTGACAGACGCACTCCATACAATAAGCTGATCCCAGATCAGCTACTGTACGTGCCATTCACAGAGGAGCAAAAGTGCAGGACACTTTTGGATTCAGTGTGTTTAAACAGAAACAAACAGAAGTCTTTAGGAAGGAATGTACCTTTGTCCTTGGAGGATTTGTCCTTGTCTCTGTCCCGATCTCTGTCTCTGCTGCGGCTACGGTGCCGGTGGCTCTTGCGCTCAGAGCTGCGGGATCTCCTCCTGTCCCGGCTGCGAGAGCGACGCTTCCGGTCCGATCGATCCCGACTGCGCCTCCTTTCACGGTCACGACTCCTGTTCGCCACCACAGATGGACAGAAATGTTATTCAATTCTAGTTGTTTTGCGCTAGTTTTCATGTACCTTGCCCAACAGCACACAAGGGTTAAGTATGGTGAATAGAGCGGTGTACCTGCTGCGCTTGCGCTCTCTCTCTTTACTCCTGGACCTCCTCCTGTCTCTGGAGCGGCTCCTGCGGCGGTCTGACGTCCGGCTGGAGTGTCTGCTGTTGGAGTGACTCCTCCTGCTGCGCCGGTCTCGATCTCTCTCCCGATCCCGGTCTCTGTCCCGATCTCTCTCCCGCTCGCGCTCTCTCTCCCTCTCCTTCTCTCGCTCCCGCTCTCTCTCCTTCTCTCGCTCTTTCTCCTTCTCCTTCTCCTCCTCCTCCTTGCGTCTCTTCTCTCGTTCCTCTCTTTCACGCTCTCGGTCATCTTTTACCTTCTTGCCTTGATCCTCTTTCTCCGGGTCCTCAGAGCGCCGACGCAGCTTTTCCTGCAGGATCAAACAAAACAAAAAAACAATGTAATCCGTGTCCAGGTGGTGCGATTTGAGATCATCTGAAAACATGCAATAGCACATTATTAAGTGATATTAGTGACCCTGTTTGACCCAAACGTGAGCTCACCTTCAGTTCCTCGACTGTGGATTTAATTTTGGCATAGCCCATGTGCTGTTTGCCCATTAGATGATCGTCCACTCTGGACTGAGCGTCGCCCACAATGAGGAAAGCGCCACACACTTCACACACCTCCATCTGCTTCTCCTGAGCCGCAAAGCTCTCGATCGTCTGAAAGACACCAGGTCAATGTGTTCATTTCCAGAGCGATCGTCCATAAAAATGTTCAATATAATGTTGATGTGAGACTCACTGAATGAGTGGAACTGAGCTCCTCACGCTCCTCCTTCAGCTGCTCCACTAGCTTCATCATGCCCTGCGCCTCCTCGACACGACCCTCCGAGCCCAGCTCCTCGATCTGAATACACACAAACACAGACGTTACACAGCTCTACAACACACTTACATTGTCATTTAGCATTGCCCGAAGCAACTTAATTTGTTCACACTCAGTTTGTATATCTAAGTTTATTATACGGCTGTCTGATTCTGAGGTCTCGGTCAATACAATACAAGCTTACATTCACGCGTGAACTGTTATAGTGTATGCTTTATTAAGCCAGTTTAGTTTCTGTCAGCTTTGTTTTTGACCATTTTGTGCTATATTGTGACTGAATAATGTTCAGGTTAGTGTATACTCCATCCAGCTGTTTGCATGTAATTTGCGGAGCACTGTTGTGTAAGACTTTATTCTGTGAAAACCACCATCCTGGACGTACTTTGACCTGCCCAAAATAGCAAAATTACAGATCGTTCAGACCTTCTGTCGACGTTTAACGCCTTGTGACTACACAAAGGCCGCCAATGTGATAGTCCACACCAAAGCACAAAACATCAGGCATCGTACACCGTATTTCCAACCCATCTCCAGCCACCCTCCCAATTTGTTATTTTTCCTGGAAACTCCAGTAATGGATTCATTGACAATCAAGGTGATTAAAAGTTCACGGATGAGTTTGTGTTATTCAGTGATTATCTGGGAATAACACACTTTGGATTGCCTCGACTGATCAATCAGAAGCAAATATTCTAGAGAGCTGCGTAATAATCTGAGATAACAGCTTCCTAGATGTACTTTATCCCCACCTAAAAAGTCTTGACCAATGAGCTGCATGATCTGAACACACACACACACACACACCCACACCCACACACACCCACACCCACACACACAGAGATATACAGTTTTTGATGTTTTAAACAGACCTGAACAACGAGCTCCTCAATCTTCTCTGTGAGGACCTGAGCTTTCTCCTCATTCTTCCCAGATGGACCCGGCGTCTGGAGATCAGAGCTCAAAGTCAGATGGGTATGAAGCACAGTATACACACCAAACTGAGAGAATATTTACACATCAAATAAAAGCATTCGACTAGAATATTTCAAATATGTTTGTGTATATTTCATTTCAAAACATATGTAAAGAATCTTACTAACTCCTATGCGGATTTTCAGAGTAATTGTGCACAATTTTTGTTTACCGACGGAGTAAAATAAGCAAACTCATGTTTTACTGATATGTTTACAGAAAGGCTTTAAGATTTTAAAAAGGTTTTTTTAGGTCAATTTTATTGGTAAAAGTAAAGCACTCTTTGATATCGGTGTCCAGCTGACCGCCTGCAATATAAACTGTAGTAAAAACCTTCATGCATAGTCATGTCTAGGTCATTCAGTGTAAAGCTAACTCACTTTTACAACACTGTGCTCAAATACAGCTTCAGATAAATATACCTTGCAAAATTTGTGCATAGTAGTAATATATAATATTTGGTGTATATATATACAGGGTCCCCAGGCTTTCATGAACTGCAGATTCAGAAAAAAATGAACCACAGAAAAAAAAAATATATTAAACTTGTTAAATTCAATATTCAAATGTGAAAATTCTGAAATGTTGCTCAAATGTGGATTATTTGTCAGTGTTATTGTACAAGATTTCATTTAAAGACTTTGTTCTTTTTTAGACTTCTGAGTACAATTCCTAAAATAAAACTGGAAACAAATTTAATTTCACATTTAATTCAAGCACTTTTAAGGACCCGTGCTTGTTTTTAAGTACTTTCCAGACCTTAAATCCATATGTCTGAAACTCAAGTACTATCAAGAAGCATGGGAACCCTGTATATAACTAGTAAACTGAATATATATATATATATATATATATATATATATATATATATATATATATATATATATATATATATATATATACACACACATAATAAGTACAAACATGTCACCCTTTTTCTCAAAAAGTTGCCGTTGACTTTTTTTTACCGGATGTTGATAACAACCAAAGAAATGCATAAATGCAAAGAACACAAAGCTAATTAAGTTGTGTAATAAAATGAAATAATGCAGCGAAAAAGTATTGAACACATGAAAAAAGAAAGGTGTAGAAAGGCAGTGAAAGCCCAGACAGCAGCTGAAATCTATCAGTAGTTCTTCAGCAACCCTCTGCCCTTGGGGTAAATTAATATTCATTGCTTCAGTCCAACATCAACATTAGCAGGAGGATGAAGATGAAACCAGGGTGGACATTTCAGCAAGGCAGTGATCCAAGACAAAGCCAAGGAAACTCTCAAATGCTTTCAGAGAAGAAAACAAATCTGTAGAATGGCCTGGCCGACCATCTGACTTTAATTCGATAGAAAATACAAAATAAAGATCAGGTATGATAGACGAGACCCACAGAACCATCAAGATTTTTACACTCTGTTGAAGTCTGAAATAAACTCACACCTGAGCAATGCATGTGACTTCATTCTCCAAAAAAGCCTTTTACAAAAAGTATTAAACATTTCAGTAGTTCAGGACTTTCTCCATGTGTCATTTCATTGTTATTACACGCAACTTGTATGTTAGATTTTTTTGTTTTATTTTTATGTTTGAATTTTTACCAAAAAATAATATCCCCAGGAAAAAACATGTTCAATACTTATTTCCCCCACTGAGTGTGTGCTATAAACACATGAGATTATGCGTGTGCTCACTCCAGAGTTCTGCTGGGCTTGGGACAGGGCCAGGCGAGCATGACCCCTGCGAATCCTGCGCTCCACCTCAGCCAGGAGACTCTGCAGGTACCGCAGGAAATCCCGCTCGTATCCTTCCTTCATGAAGCGCGAGCTCTTCTCATACCTGACAGCATCACAACAGATCAGGAGTTTTCTTTGTTTAATGCCACATTAAAACTATTATGTTTAGAAAAGTGTTGAAAAAAAAAATCATATTTCTGTTAAACAGAAATTGTGGGAAAAATAAACAGCAGGGCTAATAATTCAGAAAGGCTAACAGTTCAGACAAAACATTACATGATAAGAGCCACTTAATATTTTAATAAGAGACGACAAACAAACATAAAAATTGAAATAAATACAATACACAAAAAACTATATTAAAAGTTAAATATTTTTAAAAATATTTATTGAACTAAAAAACTTTTAGTTCAATATTTGATAAATAACGTTTATAAACAGAGTTTTTAAATCCCATCAAAGTGTTCTCATTATAAAAATACTGTCTTGTAGAATTTAAACATCCTAATAAAATATGTTTCAGTGAGAGCAGCTTGACAGTAATTACAAACAGAATCTGCAAAACTAGACGTGTAACATATTATTTATGAAATCCTGACATACATTTGAGGTCAGAATTATTAGCCCCATTCGATTTTTTTTTTTAAAATAATTTTACAAATGATGTTCAACAGGGCAAAGAAATTTTCACAGTATGTCCGATAATATTTTCTCTTCTGGAGAAAGTCTTATTTGTTTTATTTCGGCTAGAATAAAAGCAGTTTTTAATTTCTTAAACACCATTTTAGGGACAAAATTATCAGCCCCTTTAAGCTATATTTTTTCTCGATAATCTACAGAACAAACCATCGTTATACAATAACTTGCCTAATTACCCTAACCTGCCTAATTAACCTAGTTAGGTCTTTAAATGTCACTTTAAGCTGTATAGAAGTGTCTTGAAAAATGTGTAGTAAAATATTATTTACTCGCATCATTGCAAAGATAAAATAAATCTGTTATTAAAGATGAGTTATTAAAACTATTATGTTTATAATTGTGTTGAAAAAATCTGCTCTCCGTTAAAAAGAAATTGGGGAAAAAATAAACAAGCGATCTAATAATTCAGGGGGGCTAATAATTCTGACTTTAACGGTATACAGATCACATTCATTGTTTAGGGGGTATTTCACCTTTAATTTGGGCAGGACAGTGGAGGTTACAAACAAACAAGTACTAGAAGCAGAGAGCGGAAAAGGGTCAGCAAAAGACCTCGAGCTGGGAATCGAACTTTGGTCGCTGTTAACGCCATGGTGCTATATGTCAGTGCACTTAACCACTAGGCTATGAGCGCAGACATATTTATTCCTAATATCTTAATAATTAACATAAATTTTATTGGAGAAAAATAAACAAATAAAAATGAATAATTTTATGTGAATTTGAGGTGAAATCAGCTTAAAATAAAGTAATAAGAAAGAAATTAATTTAAAATACATTTTAAAAATCTAATAAAAAACCATTAAGAATCATAACACTTTTGAAGGGGGCAAAATATTCTTTATAACAACAATTCTTCCTGACTGATTTAATATTTTGTTTTGCACAATTTAATGATCATTTTACATGCAAATAATGTAGTTTTCACATCACATAAAATAAAAGAATTGAATTAAGCGGATTAAAATTAATGAACGAGTTAAGACAAGAAAGCCTCTAAAGATTCTTCTAAAATGAGTGCTTTTCTCCCATGTGTAGACTCAGTATTTTCACATTTATTGCAAAGAATAAAGTAATTTAATTCCCTTTAAATTGAAATAACTGAACATAAACACATGACATTGAGAAAAATACTAGCTTAGAAGAAAATTTCAGATGGCATCAGAATTTATGAAGAAACAAATAATAATAGTTCAGTAAAAGCCTTTATATTCGTTCTAATGTAATTTCTTCCAGACTGCTTAAAAACTGAAATGTGATCTGGACATATTCATACTTACAGCTTCCTTAAGTTTTCATCGTGGATTTTTTCACAAGGGCCTGAAAAATAATACGCTTTATTACAACGTGGACAGCAAAATTCAAACAAGATGTATTTTTATTTCAGAAGCTGTCCTTACCCAAGTCTGAGCGCGTGTTTGTGAACAGTTCAGCAGGACAGAAGCCGCACAGGTAATATTTGCAGACCTGGGAAAAAAAAAACACCAAAAGCTTGTAAATCCTAATGGATAGAGATAGATCTTCTCACAAACGTACATTTATACACTACCTGACAAAAGTTTTGTCTTTAATCTAAGTTTTAGAAACAATAAATATTACCTTGACTTCTACTTGATCATTTGGTATCAGAAGTGGCTTATATGAAAGGCAAAGTCCCCTAGATTATGCTTATTTTACCTAAATAAAAGATGATCATGCCTATGTTTTTTTAAATATTTGATTAAGACAGTAAGGTCTGACTTTGCTTAGACAAAACTCTTGTCACTGAACAGAAATAAATGTGCAGTATAGAATATAAAGTCAGGCTACAGTGGAGACAGAATGAATATTGTGTCTGACTCCCATGAGTTTGGAGGACTGCATCCATACATCTCTGAAATGACTCAGGAAACTCATTAATAGTCGTGTGGAATGGCAAAGAAAGCCTTTTTCAACAACACTTTTGTCAGATAGTACATCTATAGATGTAATAAAAACTAATAATGAACTTTTGGGCTTTGGCTTTTTGACCTCAAATGAACAAATTCCCACCAAAAACTCCAGACAGTGGGCATCTAATTGTAGTAATCAAGATGAACTATCGCTGTAATTAACTACAGCCCAGTAATAATGCAAAATAAACGTTTCATTGAGGAGCAAATTTTAAATCCATTTTATTTATTCATCGTCTCTTGTTATACTTAAACACTTTTTAAAGCACTTCAATTTGAATTTACAATAATAATAAATATATCACTGTTAAAAACACAGACAACAATCAAGTCAGATTAAAAATAATTTAAAAAATAGCAATACCATTACAACAATATCTGGGTTTTATTTCATCTTGAAATGTGAGCAGTGCTGAACTTTTTAAATCACTATAGTTCTGTTTGTGGTTGTCAAGGACTTCGGAGTGACTAAAACAAAGAGCATAGAATCAGGTCATTCTAAGCTCTTTGACTGAAGCCAATGCTGTGCTGTTGCTAGGCTGCTCTGTGTTCATAGTAAAGTAATGTTACATAGTTCCTATGGTGTTTTAGGAGTCAAAAAGAGCCCATCACAGTCTTTGTGATATGATACTTCTTGTAATAAATAATAACATAAAATCCTTATTTTAAACTAAATATATAATTTATGTAATATAATTAGTAACAAGCAAATAAAAACGCATGAAAATGTATTTATGTATTGCTACATCAGCAACTTAAGGGCTATTTCCTGGCAAAACAAAAAAAAAATTACATGATAAAAACTAATTCGTATTACAAAAAAAGGTTACTTAGAAAAATATATGAAATATAAGTAGATAAAATTCACATAAAGATAAATTAAAAGTTAAATATGATTTTTCTGTTCAATTTTCGATAATTTTAAACATTTTCTGGTGGTACCTTTTTAAAAATGACCATCAAAGTACTCTCCTTAAAAAAAGTTGCCCAATGGTATTAAAACTTCCACATTCCAACAAAATATGCTTTATGGTAAGAGCAGCCTGGCACTAAATGCATGAAAAAACCCAATTCAGTATTTGTATTTGCTCCTCAGTATGCTAATTAAATATGCAACACAGAATGTTATGCAACATATACGTTATGAAATGCAGGTATATGAAATAAATGGCAGTTTAAGTTAACTTTCAACAATTAGAAATTAGAATAACAAATACATGTGGCAGTATATTACATTAGACCAAAACAAAAATAGACCATATGTGTGATTAGTTCTTAGATAATAAACATTTAAAGAACAATATGGTAAACATAACATGTTGACCCGTTTTAACATGGTAAAAACAAGCATCTTGAATAATTAACCTATAGTTAGTTTTATATTTACACTTTTAGACTGTCTCAACAATACAATTTCAGAAAAGAATTAACTGCACTTTCTAATAAATAGTGAAATCATATTAGCAGCCAGTGACTATCAAAGTACATTATTTACAGCCAATTAAATAGTGCTGATGTTGTTTTGAAGTCATACTTATAATTTCAGTATGAATATTCAAAGTACCAGGGTAAACAATATAGGGAGCTGACACTGAACGAACCAACTTTACCTCATCTGAACGAGAGGAGGCATAGCAGAAACAATATTGTTTCAATTAAACTAATTATGATTTTTTTATATTTTATGGGGTCTAAATGACTCAGAATAATAAAGTATTTACACAAGCTGAGTTAACGTTACTAATCACTGAACGTAACGTAGATGTAATTGTACACCTCTACCAGAACCGAATGCTAAAAACAAACATCCAACAAATAAACACAAACGTAAAGTCTTAATATTTAGCAGTTATCTGCTGTACAATAACATAGACAGCATGAACAACACTTGAAGCAGATTAACATGAGGGCGGGACAGACGCCGCAGTCGCGTGTTCATCAACGAGACTTTAGCCTAGCATGCTAACAGAACCAAAACAAACCGGAGGACTAGCTAACCAGTTATCGCTCCGCGCTATACACACATAAACAAACATACATCTATATATGTTCCTAAAGAGCTTTAGTGCTCTATTGAGTCATCTGTGTGTTAGAGAAATGATTCGCGGCTGCAGTTTAGCCGTCAGCTCACTTACAGACTCATCATCCCATCGGACATTACATCGCTTCTCATCCGGAGCCAAGTTCCGATCCCGGCCCATTAACTCATCCAGCAACTGGGCTGCAGAAAGCATCGTGGCTCGGCGTTATACCTGCTCCGCTACAAGATAATCGTATTATTCATTTACAGAATAACGCGTGCCGCGTCCCCGCTCTGATCCCATCAACAAAATGGCAGCTCAGCGAGGAGCGGATGTTACCCATAAGTCACCTCGAGGAGTAGCGGCGGAGAGAGTGCCGTCTGCTGTACGGGATGAAGAAGAGCGGGCCTAGAGGATGGAGCAAATCCTACCCTGAGGTGCATCCTTACTACGTCCTAAAGTGTGTTTTGTTTTGTTTTTGTGGAGAAAAAGTACATACCTTCGAAGAGAAGAGTAAGTTTTGGGACATACAGTTCGTTATGTTGCTTTATTTCAATCATCTTGACACATATCCTTATTGGAGAGTCAGCTGTTTGGCAGTCTTTCACACAGAGAAATCTTCTCAGTTCTTTGATTAATTATGCTTTCAAACACGTCTTTATATAAATTCACAATATGGTTGCAGATTAAAAAGAACATAGAAAACATAACTTAAATATTTTCAAGTTGACTCGATAATAGTTTAATCGTCATTTAAACAAAAAATAAAGAAATATTTATCAAAGCCTGGTTGGTTGGTCTAATGCCTCCACCATGTTTGTAGTTTGTTTACACATTTTACCTGGATTTGTAGTTCTAATCGAATTCTCTTTCAACGTGCAAAGTATTGTGGGCAATATTAGCAGTTAAGGCTGATTTATACTTCTACGTCAAGTGCACACATACGGTCTGGTGCAGCCTTCGCGTGGTCGCATAGCTCTCGCTGTGGCTGACACCAACGCTGACCTCTCAAAAAATTTTGCTACACGTCGCAACAATGCATAGCGTAAGATCTGTGATTGGTCGACTTAGCTGTGATGAGTGTAAGCTGTGCTGAGAGCCGTGAGCCTGATGGAGCGAGTGTTTACAAGTGTCGAGACCCATGAAGGAGCTCCAGATGCTTTGTGTTTACCTTATGATTATGTTGTTGCACGTCCACAGTTCCTGCCTTTGAATTAATGAGTTTTAGCTACTTGTACATTAAGGTAGAGTTCAGAAAAACAAGCCAGCGAAGAAACTTGACACAGAGCAACATAAAAACCTACTGCCAGCTAGCATTTCAAAAGTGTTATTGCATTGCAGCACAAACAGTGCGCAGAAGTATAAATGCACAGCTACACGCAAGACATGCGCCGTGGGTCACGTTGATCACTCAATGCAGAAGTAAAGGCTGGTTTATACTTCTGCTTCGAGCAATCGCCGTGACTCACCTAAACACTACTAAAAAAGTTTCCATCTGGAGCTTCTTCACGAGACTCGACACTTGTAAACACTCGCTCCATTGGGCTCGCAGCTCTCAGCAACACCCACACTCGTCACTGCTACCGAACGAACAATCACAGATCTTGCACTTCGTGTTGTTGCGCTGTGTAGTTACATTTTTTAAGAGGTGCACATCAGTGTCGGCGTCAGCCACGGTGAGGGCTATGCGACCGCACAAAGGCTGCACTGGACCATACGCATACAACAGAGTATGGACGACACTTCTGATTTCTACCAGAAATAGTAGACCAAACGGGAACCTTTGGCATAGCTACTCTTTTCAACATTGTTAATATACCACGGTTTGAGACACTAATTTTATTTTCGAATACTATTTTGGATGGAGAGTATGCAAATTGGGACCCAGCAGTAGTTAAAAGGTAATTTCACCCACAAAAAATAGTAAATTCTGTCGTTAATTACTCAACCAAACCCATGAGACTTTTGAGAATGAGAGTGCTCTCAGATTTCAACTAAAATATCTTAATTTGTCTGAAGATGAAGAAATAGTTTAGGATGATACAGCCTCATATCACACCAGTGCACATTAAAAGTTATGCTAGTAGCACAATCTGATATTTTATCATTAACATGTCCTACCTACTTTTTCAATAAGAGGTAGGAAAATGTGGAGGAGTAGGACAAAACGACTGATCACCATTCATCACTATGTTGTATTTAACCAAAGGCTACTGGCAGGTCCCCTTATCACCTGAGTCTCCAATAAGAATGGCCTCCAGTGCCCACAGCAGCCTTTGGTATTATTATGCTATACACTTTAGGTTACACAGGGCACCAGCCACATTTGATGGAGATCCCGCTTCAACCACATCAAAAGTAAGTCATCATCAGTGTTGGGGATAAGGCATTACAATTAACACTGGTAATGTAATAATATCACTTTCTAATAAATGAAATGAATGTTATACTGTGCGTTCTATTTTTAAAAAAGTAGAAAATAAAAACCTGCAAATTCAGAAAGAGATCAAGCCTCAGCCAGCTAAGAAAAAGTAATATAAAAGTAAAGTAACAGATTACTTTCCATAAAGAGTAACTAAATAACGCAACTAGTTACTTATGTTGGGAGTAACTCAGATTGTAATGCATTACTTTCAAAAGTAACTTTCCCCAACACTGCCTATCAATGATGTTATCATCCAATCAGAAAGCTGGAATGAGCACCTAGACTGGTTTTGGAGGGTGTTGACGAATGGCGGGACTCACAACTAGCCCAAAGCAATGCCACCTGCTTTCTACTAAGAGGCGAAATGTATAAAATATAAGATGATACAATGGGTTTATAATACCCCTGAGAAGAAAGTAGAAGTTGCTCCGAGCTAGGATCAAACCAGCGACCTTCCACATGGGAGTTGGTTGCTCTAACAAGGAAGCTAAAGACCATGGCCTCTAGCATCTGTCACTAGAGCACCTTAAGAGGTCTGAGGAGTGAGGTTTACTTGCAAAGGAATTACTAGCTGGCCTATGATTAACTCATCCGGCACCAATGTAACCCTGCCAGTTCTATGCCACCCAACCTGCTCCAAGCTGGGATCAAACCTGCGACCTTCCGCATGGGAGTTGGTTGCACTAACAAGGAGGCTAAAGACCATAGCCTCAAATGTCTGACGCTAGAGCACCTTAAGAGGTCAGAGGAGTGATTTTTATCTGCACAGCACTCACTAGCTGGCCTCTGTTACACTAGCAGGCTGCTACATATTTTTTTATACCATGGATGACAAACTTTGAGACCTGCAGGGATCCGGTGGCACTGCATGGTGTTAATTTAGTATTCATTATTAATTTACATTGAATTAGAATGTGCTGTTTTAATTTATGTAGAATATATTAAAATCTGGAAACAATGCATGGTTTAGCATTTTAAAATTGATAGTCTGCCTAAAATTAAAAATTGACCAGAGATTCTCTCCTCTCTCTCTTCTGCTTTCACTTGACGTTTGTATGATTTACATTTCAGAAAAGAGTTGAGCATGTGATATTTTATATGGTCATGCTGTGTACAAATAAACTTCATTAAGTCCTCATCATCATCAACGACTATAAAATAATCAGAAATTTTGAAAACTGTTTAATAATAATACTAACAAATGACAATGTACAAAATGTTGACTTCCCTGAAATATTTAAAGTCAAATAGTCAAATAAGTTTTACTCAGTGAAGCATGAAAACACCTGCAGAGTAGATGAAGAAACCAGAAAGTCATAGTGTTAAAAATAAAGAAACAAATATCGTGTTGGTGTGGGTTTCCTCTGGGTTTCCCCCACAGTCCAAAGACATGCGCTATAGGTGAATTGGGTAAGCTAAATGCCATGTCAGGCTAAACTTTGTTCATTTAAATATGAGAGCTTTTCTTAAGATGCAGATGCTTCAAGAACTATTGTAAGAGGATTCAAACATTTTAGGAAATATATTTGTACATTAGGTAAGGTCACAATTCATGCCATTAACTACTAGACTATTACCTGCCTATTATTAGGATATTACTTTACATAGCTATATATTATGATCTTAGTTTACATCCCTAAACTTACCTAATCCCAACTACTACCTTACTAACTTTTAATAAGCACATAAATAGAGGTTTATTGAGCTAATAGTCTTAATGGTTTGTTAACAGCATGAACTGTGACTTGAAATAAAGTGTCTCCAAATAAATCAGTAATTTTGACTATTGTCAAATATACACACATGCGACACACAGTGTCAGATATAAATATTAGAGATCTATTATAAACTTAATGTTTTGTAATGTTTTAAACATGGTCTCATCTGTGTATATTATATGTGTGTCACTAGCTGCGTCCCAAATCGCATACTTATGCACTATTCTATGCCAATTTGTAGTATAAATAGTGTAAGTAGTGCGTTCACACTGAAAACTCTGAAACTCTGAAAATAATAAGTGCACTTTAAATACCCGGATGATGCACTCATTCAGCTGCTAAAATAAAGTGTGAAATGATGGACACTTCACGCACTCAACGTCCGCAGGTTTGCCTACTTTACGTAGCGGAAGGGGCGGAGCTATCGGACGCACATGCTGGATAACTTTATTTATTGTGGATGGTGAAAGCAAAATTTTCCTACGAGAGTGATTATAGCGCCTCCCGATGGTGAATGCGGTTATACTCACAGCAGGTATTATTTGATAGTTCAGTCGTTTATTTAACTGATTTGCCAACCGTCAAACATCATCAGCGAAAAGGTTTGAATTTCCGCTTAGTAGGAAAACATCAGTGTGCCATTTGGGACGACACTACATACATATACTATCATGTTGAGTGTGTAAGTGCATAAGTACATAGTGCATGAGTGCATAGTGTATAGTGTGCCATTTGGGACGCAGCTACTGTGTGTAAATCGGCAGTTCCTCTTTTAATGCTGTGGGTTTTTGTACGGCTATGTATCACTGTGTCCTTGGTAATTGAGCATACTGCTGACAGTAATAATCTCCTGCATCTTCAGGCTGGACATTTCTGATTTTGAGCATGAAGTTTGTTCCTGATTTCTCATCAGTGAATCTTTCAGAAACTCCAGACACTCTGCTATTAAGATAGTAAAACAGGAGTTTGTGTGTTTGTCCGGGTCTCTTCTGATACCAGACTAAACCGTTTGTTACAGCAGTACTGCTGGACCTGCAGTTGAGAGTGACGCTGCTTCCCACAGACACCAGATCCACTGACGGACTCTGAGTCAGGATAATCTCTGCAAAACAACCTGCAGCACAATAATATCAGTCAGACAGACAGATCAGACATGTGGAGGAGAACACTTGATGAATGTTGAGTCTCACCAGCAGCAGAGAGCAGGAGAGCGCAGATGATCAGAGCGTTTGCAGACATCTTAAAGACTCAAGACTGAAGAGCACAGAGAAGAGCTGCTGTCTGTCCGTCTGTCTTAAACACAGGGGTGGTGCACTTATTCAAACACACTTCCCTTCAGCTCACACACACTCATGTAAAACACAGTAAAAACAGCACCGTGATAAAGTTGACTCTACTATACATTGTAAGGAAACTTTCTGCAGAGCTTTTTTGGTCAAATCAACTTAAATGAAGTCAAGTGAAGTACTTTAAAAGTTGAGTCAACTCAAAAATGCTCTGTAGCAAGTTGCCTTATAATTTGAGTCAACTTATTATATAATATTATTAATATTAATATTACTAATATTAGTGTCATAAATATGTACTACACTGTTAACATTTACCTGTAGTGTTTACAGTAACTTATTGACAGCAGTTTGACAGTAATATACTGTAAATTAAACTAACAGCACTGTAACACATGCAGGGACCCACACAACCCATTCATGTCGTGCCAACACAAATCCATTAAGTTTAAGTGGTTTGAACACTTAAAAAATTTAAATTTTTCCTAAAATCATCAGAGTTGTGTTGTTTGCGCTCATTTTAAGTAGTTTGAACAAGCAGTTAAAATCATTTATTTTGAGTGTGTATTAATATTTACAGTAACATGTATCTTGCTCTATATGTATTTACAGTATTGTACATCTTTACTGCAAAATATACGGCATTTTAGTCTTCTCATCTGTGATATATTTTCATAAAATTATAAATAGTGTTGGCAAAGCAGTGGCGAAGTAGGTAGTGCTGTCACCTCACAGCTAGAAGGTCGCTGGTTCGGGGCGTTTCTGTGTGGAGTTTGCATGTTCTCCCTGTGTTTGCGTGGGTTTCCTCCTGGTGCTCCGGTTTCCCCCACAGTCCAAAGACATGCAGGTACAGGTGAATTGGGTAGGCTAAATTGTCTGTAGTGTATGAGTGTGTGTGTGAATGTGTGTGTGGATGTTTCCCAGAGATGTGTTGCGGCTGGAAGGGCATCTGCTGCGTAAAAACTTGCTGGATAAGTTGGCGGTTCATTCCACTGTGGCGACCCCTGATTAATAAAGGGAGTAAGCCGACAAGAAAATGAATGAATGTATAAATAGTGTAGATCATTATTCATGTATTATTAATGTTTTGTTGTTTTAAAGTGGAGCAACATGGTGGATTAGTGGTTAGCACTGTGGCCTCACAGCAGGAAAGTTGCTGGTTCGAGTCTCAGGTCGGTCAGTTGTCATTTCTGTGTGGAGTTTGGATGTTCTCCCCGTGTTGGTGTGGATTTCCTCTGGGTGCTCTGGTTTCCCCCACAGTCCGAACACATGCATTAAGGGTGAATTGAATAAACTAAATTGGCCGTATTGTATAAGTGCATGTGAATGAGAATGTGTATGGGTGTTTTCCAGTGCCGGGTTGTGGCTACACATGCTGGAATAGTTGGCAGTTCATTCCACTGTGGTGAACATATAAATAATAAGAGACTAAGCTGAAGGAAAATGAATGAATGAATGTTGTAAAGAGTTTCCAAGGTTTTCATGAATTTTCTTAAGGATAAACAGGTTTTGGTGTAACTGCTCGTATTGCAGATCACCTCTGTGCTTCATAATCAGATCTCTGTCATTACTGCACGTATGCAACGTTTGAGCAGAACCTGATACTTTTATTGCCCCATGTCAAGCTCATTTAAAAAAGAAACTAATATGAGAGCTTGTCTTGAGATCCTAACACTTTAGAGAATACTGTTGAAGCATATTGTCCAAATTAGGTTTTCAGCAATCCACATTACTAATCAAAAATGAATTAAGGAAATATTTATTGTTCTGTTTTTTTCAAATTATAAAATGTCTTCATGGAAGATGATCTTTCTTTAATATGTGAATGATTTTTGGAATAAAAATAAATGGTGATGCTTCATGGTCTCAATTCAATTCACTACTGGTCTGTACCTGCCTATTATTAAGATATGAACTGTATATAAGTGGCTAAAGGATGGTCTTATTCTGCATCCATAATTCTACCCTAAACCCACTACCTTACTAACTACTAATAAGCACATAATTAGCAGTTTATTGAGCAAATAATCTTAGTTAATGATTTGTTCACAGCGTGAACTGTGACGTAAAAAAGTGTTACCAAATAAATCAGTAATTTTGACTATTGCCAAATACTGTATACACACGTGAAACACACACACAGCGTCAGATACAAATATTAGAGATCTATTATAAACTTAATGTTTTGTAAGGTTTTAAACATGGTCTGATCTGTGTGTGTGGTGTGTGTGTGCGTGTGTGTGTGTGCATGTGTGTGTGTGTGTGTCAGCAGTTCCTCTTTTACTGCTGAGGGTTTTTGTACGGCTCTGTATCACTGTGTCCTTGGTGAGTCATAGTACTGCTGACAGTAATAATCTCCTGCATCTTCAGGCTGGACGTCTCTAATTTTGAGCATGTAGTTTGTTCCTGATTTCTCATCAGTGAATCTGTCAGAAACTCCAGACACTCTGTTACCAAGATAGTAGAACAGGGTTTTGTGTGTTTGTCCGGGTCTCTTCTGATACCAGATTAAATTATGAGAAACAGAACTGCTGGACCTGCAGTTGAGAGTGACGCTGCTTCCCACAGACACCAGATCCACTGACGGACTCTGAGTCAGGATAATCTCTGCAAAACAACCTGCAGCACAACAGCATCAGTCAGACAGACAGACAGACAGATCAGATCAGACATGTGGAGGAGAACACTTGATGAATGTTGAGTCTCACCAGCAGCAGAGAGCAGGAGAGCGCAGATGATCAGAGCGTTTGCAGACATCTTAAAGACTCAAGACTGAAGAGCACAGAGAAGAGCTGCTGTCTGTCCGTCTGTCTTAAACACAGGGGTGGTGCACTTATTCAAACACACTTCCCTTCTGCTCACACACACTCATGTAAAACACAGTAAAAACAGCACCGTGATAAAGTTGACTCAACTATACATTGTAAGGAAACTTTCTGCAGAGCTTTTTTAGTCAAATCAACCTAAGTCAAGTCAAGTCAAGTGCAGTACTCGGGTTAAAAGTTGAGTCAACTTTTTCTTTCACAGAGTGAGTGTAATTATATAAGGCTTTGTTTGAGGATCAGCTAATATTACTGTCATAAATATGTACTACACTGTTAACATTTACCTGTAGTGTTTACAGAAACTTAATGGCAGCAGTTTGACAGTAATAAACTGTAAATCAATCTTACAGCACTGTTAAAGATGCAAAGTTACACACAATTCAGTCATGTTGTCCCAACACAAATCAGTTTGCCTAACATAACACATTTACGTGGATTGAACATAAAAATAAAAATCCCCCTAAATACCTGCAGAATTGTATTATTAAAGCTGATTTAAAATAAGTAGTTTGATTAAGCAGCAAAAATGTTTTGCATGTGTATTAATATTTACAGTAACACTAATCTTGCTGTACATGTATTTACAGTATTGTACATCTTTACTGTAAAATACACTGTATTATTAGTCTAATCTGTAATTGTCACAGAAAGAGACAGGAAGCAGAGATGGAAATATTACCACAGTTTATTGAAGAGTATGGCAGGAGATATACAGAACTCAATGTAGATGCTTTGCAGGATGTAAAGAGATGACCAGATGAATCAGAGAGACTGGGGGTGAATTTGCAGAGAAGCCAGACACACAGATAGACGGATACGAGGGATCAATGACAACCAGAGGAGGGAGAAACCACACTAGGGAGAAGAGACGTAGACACTGGCAATCACAGGGAATGAGAGAGGTATATAAACTTGGAGAATTGTTCTAGACACTGACCGTGAGGAGAGTGCAGTACTATGAAGCAACAAGGCCAGACACTGAGTGAGGGTTGATGAGGGTATTGATGCTGCTGGAGTGATGAGCGGGAATGACGTGCAGCTGCAGGGCTGATTAGTGTTCAGGTGTCAGTGATTGTGGTGATTGAGAGTGGGGAGAGTCTGACCTGGCTGTGACAGTAATATATTGTCAAACAGTTAAACAGTGTGTGCTTCATTAATCTGTTTACTGTAAAATAGCACAAATGGTAAATTACTGTAATTACTATGATTGGACAATTTAGTTTTTCGATTCACAGCACATTAGAAGAGGATATTTCCCACAATGCAACTTTAAAATACAGTAACATACTGCATAACTGTCCTACAGTACAATACACATTACAGTTAAATACCGTGTCATTTACACAAATCATTAACAGTGTCTGCTGAGGATCTCATGGACATCATTGATTCAAGACAGATTAAAATCTTAAAGTGTGAGATCATATTTATTTTCAGATTTATAAAAGCAGTGTGTGTGTTTTTATTGAACTGTGTGTCAGTGTGAGCTGTAGTTGTGTTGACGCAGTGTGTGTGTGTGTGTGTCTGTGTGTGTGTGTGTGTGCTGAAGCGTTCAGAGGTTTTTGTTCAGCTGCTCCATTAGTTTGTATCACTGTGATGGACTTTCGGCGGCGGCACCAGACTGGATGTTGGCAGTAAGTAAAACACTTTTAATGCAGTTCAGTCGTGTTTTTATTATTATTATAATTAATTACTCTGTAAACTGCAGCTTTTACTTTGTATTTGATCTCATTAGTTTATATTTTAAAGCCAAATTTAATCCTGGAAACCTTCATCACCATCACTGATCTGAAAATGATCCGAACACCATATGAAAGCATTATTTTATTCTGCGCTATATTATGTACATCATGTTCTGATGGCTGTTTTTAAATACAATATACTGAATACAAAATAGCAATATAGTCGATTATAGGTATTTTTAAACCCACTTTGAATATATCATAATGAAAATATCATTATAGAGCAGCATTCAGTGAAGTGTAGCATCATAATTTAATTCAATTTACTGTATTATTTGTATGAAAATCTTCATTTTTAAAACTGCAATACATCAATTATTACACTTGATATAATCTGTCTTTATGAGATATATTTTACTCTTCCCTTGAGGAACAACAGTTCACCTTAACAGACTTTAAAAGAAGAGAGAGCAGGTTATTATTATGGAAATTGTACATTTGAAATATTTTGCAGCTTAAATCACTTAAGAAGAACTTTAGTATATATTTATACAGAATTAATGGTTTTATTGTCTTGTGTTACTGTTATTGAATTATGGTAAAGTGTTACTGACTAACTAAAGCACATATGATCCTTTAACTTCTATAAAATCTTATAAAAGATGTAATAAAATATATTAAGAACACGTTTTTGTTAAAGTTACATGTGGCAACTTAAAATTTAACATTGAAAAACACAAAGTTATTATTATATAATGTATAAATTAAGGTAATGTATAATAAATATAGCATTTATGAATGTAATTATATAATAATAAAGTTCATAAATATATTGAAGGCTCTTTACTTTAAAGAATGACCGTTAAACATGATTAAAAATGTGAAAATAATATATGTATAATAAAATCTCTTTTAAAAAAAAAGCTACTACTAGAAGTCTACTTAAAGTCTATTAAATGCATTGAGAAACAAGTATTTCAGTGTATAGATGTGCCCTTTTTATTAATTGGTCTGCCATTTCAGTGAGACTTTCAGATTGTCAGAAATAAAACAGGGCTTCATTTAACTTTCAGGATTTACTGTGTCTTATAATGCCATGTCTCTTTAGGTTATTGCTTTTATTGAGTCCCGTCCCGCCACTCACATCCAGTGTAGACAATGTGAAATATTTATACAACATTTGCTATGCACTATAATAAAACACACACACACACACACAGACTGCTGTTCATTCTTATACACAACATTAAACTCCTCAAAGGCTCAGAGACGCTCACAGCTTAAAGACATCAGCTGTTTCCATCCACCCATTTATATGTGTATTTTGGATTATTGCATGACAAATGCTTGATAGAAAAGCCAAGATGTGCATAACTTTTACGTATGATCACCTCTGAGTCTTGATGTTTGTGGATGTGTGGCAGGACTGATTCTGTCAGGTTGATCTGTATATATTCATGGAGTTGTCGCTGCTCTTCTTCTTCTCTCAGGCGTCACTCCTCCTAAAGTGAGCGTCCTGCCGCCGTCCAGTGCAGAAATCTCCTTGAGCAAGAGGGCGACACTGGTTTGTGTGGCCAGCGAGGGCTTTCCGTCAGACTGGAAGCTGAGCTGGAAGGTGAAAGGCCAGATCAGGTTTCAGGAGAGCAGTGCTGGGCTGATGCAGGAGAATGCTCTGTACAGCTGGAGCCACAGCCTGACTCTCACTGAGGACCAGTGGATGACGGAGAGAGGCTCTGTGAGCTGTGAGGCCACACGCAGCGGCCAGCCTACAGTCAGTGCACAGCTGACCAGAGATCAGTGCTCACAGTGAACCACTCGCTCGCTCCTCTGCTTCAGGCTTACGCTGATGATATCTATAATGTTATGATAATGGTTTATAATCTAAATAAAATGCTTTATATCGCCTCTTAATATGGTTGACTCCTTTTGTTTGATTTCTGCTTGAGAAAGAGTTTTGATCTGTTTATAATTTCCCATGATCCTCTTGTGAAAATATTTATCATGACATACAGTATATTCCTCATTCATCAAGCATCAGCTTCTCTAATAAACTGTCACTGAATTGTCCTCATCATCAACACTTATGAAAGAATCTGAAGTGCTGAAAGCTGCTTTCATTACAGAAATGTCCACTTCCCTAAAATATTGAGTCAAATTAGATTCACTCAGTGAAGCATGAAAACACCTGCAGAGGAGATGAAGACACCAGAAAGTCTCTAAACAGCAAAGACACAAAGGAACCATGAAATAATGTATATAATTTGTAAATATTACAAACTATGAAGTTTACAAACTTTTAAAGCAACTATAATGAGGAATAAATGAGTATAATGTAGGATAATAAACTCAAAAGTACGACTAAGTGAACCATATTTAAAGTAAATTTTATGATACAAAGTGAACAAAACAAACTAAACAGCAACTTTGCTTGGCAAAAACAAACAATGAGGAAGAAACAATCTCACTAAACACAGAAGCACATGACTAGATAACATGAGGGAAAGGGAATCACATGATGAGTGGCTGCAGTTTAACACTGGGACAAAACTTGTAGATGAAATGACCACTTTTTGGATCCATCAGAGCAGGGTGCTTGAATTGAACCAGCAAGGATGAAAGCTTAGACTGATTTGGCATGAACTGAGCTGAGTGGTCTGTGTTGTACAGGAGCAGCCTGGGGAGTGAAATCCTGAACTGGCACAGGCTCTGCAGAAGAATCCTGGTCTAATTCAGAAACACAGATCACCTCAGTGCTTCATCTTTAGATTCCTGCTGATCATTATTACTCACATTTTAATCAGAACCTCACATTGTTATTGCCTCATGTCTTCAAAATCTTTTACCTTTAATATAAGGGATGACTCCAGAGATTTAATTAAGAACATTTCAGAGAACACTTTATTAATAGGTTTACATACATTAACAGGTTTACTTTTTTTTTAATAAAGTCAACTAATCACTTGATCTTTTCTAACAATGTTTGGCATAAATTAATGAAACTCAGTCATTTTGATTCACACAACATATTTTGGAGAATTGCCAAAAATGTACATGTGTGCAACATGGTTTTGTGATCCAGAGTGACAGTATATCTGTAGTGAATCAAGTGTCGGATTCTTAAGAACCGTCTCACAGTTTTAAACACCAATCTGATCAGTGTATTGTTGTGTGTGTGAGTGTGCATATGTGTGTTTCAGCAGTTCCTCTTTCACTGCTGAGGGTTTTTGTATGGCTCTGTATCACTGTGTCCTTGGATATTCATAGTACTGTTGACAGTAATAATCTCCTGCATCTTCAGGCTGGACATTTCTAATTTTGAGCATGAAGTTTG